AGTTCAGCCCTTAGAAAACCATGACAGAACGTTCTGCCTGCAGTTTAAGTTTATTAAGCTAACAGTTAAGTAGCAAAACATGCAAAGCTTAGGGAAGGACTTGTTTTGAAAAAAACATTCATTGGTAATTGTTCTTGCTTATTACAATTAATTGCAGGCACTGCCCCTATCATTAAAACTTATATTTAAAAATGAAATATAATCTCAAATGTACTTTTCATTTGCTGGCCATTCCCCCAAATGACAGACAAGTTTCAGAAAGGGGAACTGTAGATAAGTAAGGCAATGTCTATGCTACAAGGGTATTTAGAAATAAGTTATTTTGGAATAATAACTCCTGAAATAACTATTTTGAGGCTTCCCACACTACAGGGAAGCCTCAAAATTAGTCCAAGGCAGGCTCCCCTAATGTGGATGCACTACCTTGATTTAGTGCTCCAGGAAGCAATGGGGTGTAATTACTTTGAATGGCCCTGGGGAGGAGCCATTTTGAAATAGCAGAAGAGGAGCATCCACATCCCCGCTAGTTCAAAACAGCATATTCAAAATAGGCATGATTCCTCACAAAATGAGGGTTTATTATTCCGAAATAAGAAGCCTCTTATTTCGAAATCATTTTGAAATAATAGGCTTTCTATGTGAATGCTCATCTTGTATTTTCAAAATAATTTGAGTTATTTTGAAATAATTCTGTAGTGTAGATGCACCCCAAGAGTTTGCCCTGTTGTTGTCCCCCAGCTCTGTGTGTAGAAAGGAAGAAACCTACAGGATTCATGTGGCAGATAAGAGACAAAGCCAGATTGCATATGAGTTGGCATGACATAGTAGAGACTTGCACACCTTTCTATATGAAGTACAGGTGCTGAAGAGTCTGGGAACATGTGGATTTTACAGTTTCAGTGCCGCGAACACATAGTAGGGCCTGTTTTCCAGCCAAACGGGAACTAATATTTTGTATTATTTCTGATTCATGAGTTATATTTGGTCTGAACATGGAAGCAGAGCTAAAGGGGGAGCATGATATTGCCTGCAGCATTCGACTGAGGTTATTCCACAAAACATTTGTCAGAGTGCCAAGGGGAGTGATGAAAGAGGAACAGCCTGGGACATATCAGCCATAGCAGGTTCACTCACATCACCAGCCATTCTTCAGCATCTACAGTTAGAAGTAGAGATATAAAGGGGGCTGGGTAAGCACTAATTTGTGCTAAAGCAATCTGGCTAGAAAGCTGGAAATGAAGAGCAATAGTATTCCTTCCAATTCTCACAGGATCCCACCACCACAGGCAACACCATTTACTGGTGCACTAACATAAGAGCACATTATGCTGCATGATCCATCCTCTCAGATGCTTCTGTCTCTGAGATTGAGATAATTTGCGTTAGCAATACAATAATTAAGAGAAGCAGAGAAGTGGTGCCAGTGTCCAACTTTTGCCAGAGCACATTTAGAGTAAGAAAATATATTAGGATTTGTGATGGGTTTTATTGACATTTAGTATGTTTTCCATTTTTCTTTAGAAAAGTTCTACGGTGTCCTTTTAGGGTAGCATCCAATGAAAATGGAGTGTTCACAGCTGCAGAAGGAGGTAAATAGCAGAGGCTTCTGACATGGTTGATCTGCTGCTGTCACCAAACAGGAAGAGGTTACAGTGAAACCATTGATCAAACATCAGCCTTATGTTTTATGGGAGCTCAAGAAACTAACCATCGAACTTTTTGGACACAAATCAAGAAATGGAGACCATATAGAAATTATCTAAAAATGACCAACTGAAGAGACCAGAAAGAAAAGTCTGAGGAAGCTGACAAAAATGATTTCATGACGTTCAGGTGAAAATGTTTGTTAGTTCTTTCCAGTCATTTCTCAGCTTAAATATTCATTTTAGCAATACTTATAAAATTGATATTTTAGTGCTAAAAACCTGTAAGATTTTAAATTGTGCTTATTTTCAAATCAAATTTCAAAATTTTTCTTAAAAATTATTAAAAAGATGTTAGTTTTTTATTGCAATGTCCTGATGATAGAATGTATCAGGTAAGTTGTCACAGACAATAATGGCATGAGACTAACATGATGGTACTGTTTGTGATGTGGATTGTTAACCACCAGCAATTGAACTAATAACACCAATGCACTTCATATAGGCCACAGGACTGCTTAATGTGTATTAGGGGCAAAATCCTGGCCTCCCAATGAAGTCAATGGAACCAGGATTTCACCATCAGTTAGCAGTCAGACTATCACTACTGAGATGGAAAACATTGAAATCAATGATATTAAGATGAAAAAACTCCTAATTTAATACCCAAACCTATCACTAACCCAGCTTCCCAAATTTTACTTATTGATGGAAATAATCAGTGAGAATTACACTTGTTTATCTACTCTATTTTCTTTGTAAATGTATACATTATACTTGAATAGCTTGTTTCCCAAAAGAAAGATTTAAATATTTGTCAAAAGAGACAAGTCATCTGAAGAAGACATTGGTGTGATGTTATGTTCTAAATGTGATTTGTGTTATAAATAAATTTGCATAAAAATATCTATCCCTGGATGTCATAGTTCTAGTTTATCTTTAATTCAGATGCTCAAGAAATGTAAATTATTTTTACAGCTAAATAAAAGCTATACAAAGCTGCCAGGAAAGAATAATGAGACACACATTGTGTCATGGAGTTATGATAAATCCACCAGCACCATGGTTACAGTCAAAATGTAAGGCCCCCCAGCAACAAGGGAATATGAACACATATAGATTTCTCTGACTAGCTTTAGCAAACTAATCTTAACTGGGGAAGCATGTCACACATGATATTAGGTCAGCAGCAGAAAATATTTACCCAAATGCTAGACAGTCCCCCAATATGCAGAGTAACTGCTGGTATTTATACAAAGCTTTTATTATGAAATAAGTGTCAGTGTGTTCTGGGCTTTGGTGTGTGTGTGTGTGTCTGTGTCTGTGTGTGTGTTTGCATGTGTGCATGCGCGTACACACTCGCTTGTGTGTTTATTAGAGAGAGAAATAATGATATCAGTATTCTTGTAGCATGGTAAGGTTTGCAATTGCTATTGGTGAGAATACTGATGTTAGGATAAAAAAGCATATGAAATATGAAGCGATCCTCAGGGTGGCACCAATGACATGCTTTTATTTTATTTTCTTTACTAGTGTGCCTCCATCTAGCTTCTTCACAGGCAAACAGCTCACAGTGAGAAAATCTAGCTGCATCTTCTTCAGCAGTGGAGGTGTCATGGTACTAAAAATGTACCTTGCAAAAAATGCAATTGCTTTGGATTGTGTCCTGTACTCCCATACACCTGTGTCAATCCAAAGTAACTTCAGTGGAATCACTCTGGATGGATGCTGGTATAGCTGAGATTAGAATTCGGACCGTCCTCTAAGGAAACGTTAAAGTCTGTCTATATTTACAGAGACAGAAATAGAAATGTGACATCGAGACCTGCTGGTGATTCACTACTCTGTGAGAACCATTCTTGCCAGGCCTGATGTATTCACTACACTTAATATACCATTGTCATGATATGTACCGCAAAAGAGTCGTGTATTATGCCATTGGAACACTAATAAATCACTGATCATTACTATCCTTGTGTGATGGATGTATGGTCAAATACAAAGGATTATTCAGATGAGCTGGAATTATGATTAAAATGTGTTGAAACCATGCATGTGGGTTGACATACCATTTTTTCTGCCTCCTTAAATGTCTCCCTCAAATAAATTGAGCAAGGTGTGACCAAAGACAAAGAAGAACATATTTGTATTTAGATATCTAAATTTATATTGGTAATATGTCCAATTTTGATTTCAAACTGGTTCTTTATAATATAGAATCCTATTGTTTAATTTTGAATTAGTTTTCTGTAAATATTACACTAAAGAAATGAGTACTAGAAATAGTCATTAAAATCTGGAGATGGCTAGATAATTATGGGGAAAGGGAACCTAAGGAACTTCAGCTGATATAAATTGAAACATACACGTGTCCAGATAAAAAGCATGGTGAATAGACAAAACACCCTTACTAGTTTAACAGTCATAGGAGGTAAACTGCATGGATGTGAAAAAAGAGGGCAGAATTAGCTCCAGACACTCCATTTCCAGGATTCCGTGTAATTGCGCAAGGGTGCAGATAGGATTGTTTATTCCCTGAGCTGTGCTATGCCAGCATTGCCTCTGGCTGAGTTTCCTAACAGGTAAAACTTCTTGTTGAATGTGGTAATCTCTAGCAAACAAGTACCCTCAGTTGTCCTTTTGTTAACAGGACAAAAACAAAACAAAACCCAACGACTCTTCCCTGTTCTCTGTCTATAGTGTACAGTGCTACAGTTAAGCTGCTTCAAAAATTGTGGATCCTGCAGAGCCCAAGAAATAGGAGCACCTGAAAAGTCTTTGCAAAAGAAGTACACAAAATAGGGTCTGGCTAGTTAGCGCAGTCACAATGCTTCTGAGAGCAATATATTTGCATGGGATGCTTGGGAGAAAGTGGTCACACTACATTTCTGTCTCCCAGTAGTTTTTGAAATCACATATTTTCTTTGAAGCTATGGCAGCACATATACAACACCTTGCTCTTGCTGCTTGCTGTATTGTTTCTAATATTGCAAGTGACCGCATTGTGATCAATTCCCTAGTCTGTACTCTCTTTATGGCCTTCTCGCTACCTATGCAGTATCTTCCCATTGCAGTTGTTCCTCAGTTTTGAAAAGCCTTTTACGTCTGGTCCATAGCTCTCATCTAAGTCAATGGCTGTACTACCTACCTCCATCTCTTGCTTTCAGACACTCATTTTACTGGTGAAAATCAGTGATGTATATAAGCAGTGACAAACTAAAACATGAAGGGGAAAAAAAGGAGAGGTAGAGTGTGTGCAACCCAGCATAAAAAATACATTTATCTTCTTGTTGATCTTGGAGCACTCTGAGGTTGCAAGTCAGGCTTGGAACCCGTTGTGTTAGGCACTGTCCATATAGATATGATAGCACAGGGGTCACCCTAAAAAATTAATTGTATCCACATTCACACACGTGATGTGAAGGTTATTAGGAGAAAACTTACTGCATGTTTTCATACCATTCTTCCAAAAAGAGTTTTTGAATTGCCATGTATTTGGTAGGTGCAAAGCTGCTGCAATTTTTCCTTCTCCTGACTTTTTTCCATTTTGATTAAACAGTGGAAAATAGAAGCCAGACTCTTACTTTCAGATCACATTAATGGCCAGTTTCTAAAAATTACATGAACAGAGATGAATCCTGGAGGATGTTGAGATTCTTGTGGGGTACTAAGTATTCTCAGCTTCCATTGATTTCTGTAGGGGTGCATCTACAAAGCACCCTAAACTTGAAATAACATATGCAATTTGCACTATGCAAATTGCATATGTTATTTTGATTCTATTTTGAAATACCTTATCTTCAAATTTGGAACCTCTACACAGTGCCAAATTTTGAAATAACACACTAATTTGAGACCTCCCTTAACCCTCGGGGAACGAGGGTTACAGGGATACAGAAATAGTGCACCTGTTATTTCAAAAAACATTTCAGAATAATGGGTGGCTTGTTAAGACATGGGATAGCTATTTTGGGATACCTGAGGCGCAGCGTTGACATACCCTAGGAGTTGAGGGACCAGGATTAAGCTCGGGAGCCCCAATTTAGTAAAGCATGTAAAGCAGTTGTTACTTTTGAATAGGGGTTACACATGTATTGAAAGTTGAGCTTATGCTTAAGTGCTTTGCAGAAGAGGGTCATCAAGCACATGTGGCAGTAATCCCATTGAGTCCAATGGAGCACTATCTTTTTAAAGTTTGCTCTTAAGCTCTTCACTAGGGGTATGTCTAGACTGCATCCCTTTGTCGGCAGAGGGATGCAGATTAGGCAGGCCAACACTGCAAATGAGGCAGGGATTTAAATATCCCGCACCTAAGTTGCATAAAAATGGCCACTACTTTTGCCAACTCAGCACTTTGTCAGCAAAAAGAGGCAGTCTAGAGGGGGATCTGTCGAGAAAGAAAGACTTTTTCGACAGATCCTGTAAACATCCTTGAAAGAGGCATAAGGTTCTAGACCCTAGGCTGGGTCTAGAATGCACATCTCCAGTGTATGTGAAACATCCTTTGCTCTGCTTATTTTGTAAAGTACCCAGGCATCAAGAGCTCAGTTGTGTTCTTTGGAGAGGATTCCACCCCTCACTTTTCATTTTAAATGTGCAAATTGTCACTTGTAATAATATTTAGCTATCTAGTTATCAAAGTCATCATGGCACTGAAAAATTTAAGAGCAATAAACCTCTTGGTTTTTAAATATTTTATATTTACAATGGCCAACAATTTAAAAAAAGAATCAAATGATGCTGTTTAGAAACATTGAAAAGAGAAGTATCACTCTCAGCTGACGGCTCGTATGACAAGGTACTGTTCAGAGTGAATTTTTATGCTTGAGTAATAACCCTTGAAAAATGGGGACCCTAATGCAAAAGCTGACACAGCTTTAACCAAAGCAGCTCTAGTAAGTGCTGCTATAATTATTTGCTCATTAATTACAAATTTTGCAACACGCGAGAGTAACACAAATTGGAAAATAGGAATAATTATCAGTAATAAAGCCACAGAAGCTGGACACATTGAAAGTATCTTCCTCTTTAAATTTAATAATAGCAAGACAGCTAGGAAATTAATAAGAAATACATAATTGAAAATTAACCTTGCAAATCTGCTTTTAATAAACCATGGTGCTCTTGCGTTACAATAATTTTACAGAGCCCTTCATTTGCATTTGAAGTGCTATCCCAGGTAATACTTTA